GTACATTAATCGTTCTCCCATTGGTGCTTGAGGCTCTCTTTTTTCATATGCAGCCGATAGCCGAAAGTTGGGTGGGTGTGTCACCGGAAGTGACGTGCACTTGATAGAAGTGCGTGGATAAGCTGTTGCCAGCATGCTTTGCTGATAGCCAGCGATGTATGTTGGAAGCAGCTTATCCACATAGTTTCTATCAAGTGCACGTCACTTCCGGTGACACGCCCACCCCAACTCACCGATATCGAGTATATTTGTAGGCGAGCGGCTTTTTTTTTCTGAAGAAGATTCCACGATAAGTTCCGATGTCGAAGAAAGGGGAATATACCTAGTGGGAATGAAGGCCGTCTTGCTAAGGGGAAATGATACGTGTTTCCGTCAAGGAAGGTATGCTCACTCCGCGGCCTAGCAGGGTCGTGCCGGCTGACGCTCGCGACGCTAAACGCCCATCAAGGGATGAGTAATAGCAGAGGCATGTTGGATGCTGCTCCTATTATCACCACTTACCTTCATTTCGTAGGATCATTTCATTTCAAGCGCTATTTGCTAGGGCATTTCATTGCGTATGAGTTTGAGTGTTTCTAGTGATGCGTTAACCACTCAAAAGTTCAAAATAACGGTTATGATGTTGGCGCGATTGAATCAACGGGCAGACAACGCGTCCTATTTCTTAGGTTCTAGGCCCATTTTGCTTCTTTTTTCTTCACCACTTCATCTTTGACAAACTCTGCCATCATTTCAACGAGTAGCCATTTTGTAGTAAAATCCACCTCGACCTAGCTTCTTCGGAACCCTCGTCAATTGTTTTCAAATGTATAGACAATCGAGGCGTGAAAAAATACACTAGATGTGTTTGGTATCTTTGGTATTCTGTGTTTTTTTTTTGTGCGACTGGTTTCTCACTCGTAAGCCACAATTCTCCTCCTGCCGTCTAACGACGCTTAGGCGTCTCTATGTGTCATTTTGAAGTTTTGTGCAGATTTTGAAAGGTTACGGATATTTGGTAAACTCTGGTTATCTTGAAGACCTTACTCGAAAGAAACCCTCTGGGCATTGCAAAATCCGGGGGCATTCCTGACTGATGACCTATGTATGGTAAAGCCTATAGTTAGCTAGGAATTTGAGGTGGAAAACGAAGAAATCGCGTCCCGTTCTGGAGTCTCTATTTTCGGCGCAACTAGCTGATCTTAGTGTCCCATTCTAGGAAACAGTAGTTTATGCCCACGTCGGTTTAAATGCGTTTGCCTACGATGCCACCCCGTATCTTGCGATATTCCCCTAAAATTGTAGAGCACGAAAAAGCCGTTTCGACCACTAGTAATGTGCATACGTAGGATCACAGAACTCGAACTACTTCTCAGTAAGTGTACTTCATCTCCACGAAATCCATCAGGAGATGCACTAAACTTAATTCTAAAACATTTCAAGGTATATCGATTCTATCTAAAGCTTTGTCATTTTAACTCTGTCGGTCGTAATGTGAGCGTTAGTATAGTTGCAAAATTGTCTCAAATAATCTCCACATTCCTTTCGATTTTGCTACAGTTCTCCCTGTATGATTCCGTGCGCAGAAGTTCATTTTTTCCATGAGCTGAGGTTTTTGTTCGTTTGTCGACGGCTTTACGTCCTGCGAAAACCGTTCTAGGAGCAGGTTAATTTTATTGCGAGTGGCTCTTTCAGATGCACTCTCCTTTTCGTGCGCATCGTCTCGTCATTGTGTGAGCACGTCCGCCAAGGAAATCAAGTACTTGTTTATTATCTCTCTTGTTTGTCCCAAAAACCAAATCGCCGTCGAGTCAGACGCCAACATCGACGTGACGACGGCCTCCACAAAAAATGTTATGTGTACGACCTCAATGAAACGCGAATTGCATTGTTTTCTACCAGTAAGTCACTAATTCCACCATCGATTTACAAGCCGTCATCTTCTGCTAACTAACGCACTAGTCCCAGTCCGATGGAGCGCGTCGTAATTGCGGTGTGTGGTCTGCACTCGACGCGCATCTTGCTCTCGAAAACAGAGGTGCATATAATTTTTTGGCACTATTCAGCTATTACAACCCCAAAAACTCAAAATTTAATTTCGTTGAAACTTGGCTTATAGGAGTAATTCCATGCCGTGATTTAGGAAATAACATTCATTTCAAGCGTTGGCGCCTGTTTGGCGCTAGGGCTGTCTTCACCAAATTCGCTGTAAACTTGTATTCTGGGGTTATCGTAATAACTTCGTATAGCATATAACAGTCGTTTGGTTTGCTATCCTGTTCAACGCATATTTTTTCCGTTCTCTGGCTGCTCTCTTAACTTATTAGTAACAGTGTTATTCCCCAAGACTCGAAGGCTTGAGCGGAGAAGGCTCTGGGGTGGTCAAACCATGCAGCCGTCCTGCAAAATGTCGACGCGTATGAATCATCAGCGGAGGCTTTACCTTACCTCGGAGCGGCAGCCTCTTCCCAAAGGCTCAGTCCTGATCGTGACCTTATCAGAGAAAGGGTGCAAAATAGCAGAGATAGACGCCAAATGGAGCCAGTGGCAAAATGAATGTTAATTTTGATCACGAACCCCAAAATCCGCCATAAACAATGTTTCCGGGATATTTGTGAAACAGCTGTTGCGCCAACGGCACCAATGGCCGCATATGCTGAACATGAATGTCATTGTACCGGATCAGGGACTTGAATACAAAGTTTCGAACGAAATTAAAATTTGAGTGTTGAGGTGTAATAGTTGAGTGGCGCACTTTTCACTTTTTATCTTTTCGTGGTACTTTCATGGAATCCTAAGGGTAGCATCTACGTTCTCTCATTTAATCTCGGCATGGTAAGATAATTTTCAATTAATTTTTTAGAGCAGCCAAGTGTTTCCAACTTCATTACTTGATAAAGTTATTAAGTTCTTGATTGCGGCTCTCTCATTCAAATCACTTGCCGATAGCAGCCTGTTTATTCGCATTGCGCCACGCTTCCTTCTTTATTCGGAATCTTCAGCAGTTTTTGCATAGTCTCGATAAAGTTAGCTAAGCTTTCTTCGACTTTTAAAACATATGTGTGGCCTATGAAACCGCGTGCTTACGCTAGTTGGTGCAGACTCGGCGATCTTGTTCGCCCTAATGAATCGAAGAGCAACCTTCGTCAAGAATGCAAAAGTCATTGGTTTTGGCAAGATTTGATCCGAGATTTGATTCCAGGGGAAATTCAGCGACACACTGAGAAACTGAGAAAGAACTGGCTGTAGAACCGTTCCGGTCAAGACAATTAACCACTAGTGCGTGCACAAAGTATCAGTCGAGGTAGTTGCTAAAACAGGTAATCCGTGAGTATTGAGTAGGCAAATCAGTAGCCGATAGGTAAGTCGCACTAACACATCGAAAATTCTCTGGCTTCACATTTTTCCATGACGCAGAGCGACCAATGACGCGGCAAACTGGTTGAATTAGGAGTACTTTATGTCCAACAAGTAAATCACATTAAATGTTTTAGAAACACTTTCGCACTGTCTGAGACTAACGTCTTAACTTCCTAGGCTCTTGTGTGCAGTGCTGCTGAGTTTGGTACACATATCAAATTTCAAGACCTCTTTACAGTTCGAGACACCATATACAAGAGGGAGAAGAACAAGCTTTTGTTGCACGACCTAGGACGAATATTAGGGCCAAGTTCTTCGCGTCAAGAGCAGCTACCCAGAGTTCATAAAATTGTCTAAAAAATTGTTCTGCCTAGAAGTACAGCTCAATTCAGAATTATCTTGCGGCGTTACCTGAAATGAGGATAGTCTCGGCCTTATGTCGCAGTATCCACACCATCTCTTTTTGGCTTAACTACCTCATACAGATCATCACTTTTTGTTTGTCGTTTCTTTTATTGCCTTGGAGGCTCGTTTCAGTATTAGGTACTAAAAAGTGTTTTATTTTTTTCCGCTGGTTGAGTTGTATTCTCTCATGTGCCTAAAGCACATGCAATAAATAAATAAATAAATGTGCCACACAAACTGGCATTTTAAACTTAGGAACGCCCATTTAGAGGCCGAGCTATGCCTCAAGGGGCCTTCGAAATCTTTACCCCAACATTAGCTAACGTATTAAAGGCAGTAGGCAAAATGGTGGCCAATTTCGGAAAAGAAAGTAGAGACGGTGGGCTTTGCAGCAGCGATAAATAAAGAAACCGAGAGAATCGGCTCAGAACCCGAAAAATGGGAGCCAATTTACGGGCAGATAAGCCTGCGAGTAACACAGAAGTCGTTTGGACGAGTTTGCCTCTGTTGCCGGCAACATCGTGCTCTGATTGGTAGAGAAATAAGAACATGCCGCTTTTGAATTCTGAATAACTGCGATTTGGCATTTGAAGCGACAACAGAGTAAAATTAAGCCAAAAATGCATCGTCCGGAATTGACATCATGATTGAGGTTGCCAAGTTTACACTTAAGATGTAGAATTTACAATTTGTCCAGGCGCTCTGATCTAGCAGATGAGGCGCGCACCCGTTAACGGCGGTTAATCTGGTTAATATTTTCCGATGATTAGTAGGGTTGATTATTGCAGCTCTAAAAATGAATCTCGCCTGCGTAACCTAGCCTATAGTAATAAGCGAAAGTCACGACTTTTTGAAGGCCGCATCGAACGTTTCCAAACAGTCTTCCCAACTGATCGCAAGGGCCTCTTGTACCCTAGGCCGAGCCCCGCGCAACCTACAGTTTTTCTTTGGCAAAGCGCTGTTCCACCATCCATACCTCTTCCCTCATTTTCTGATTGTGCTGTCCTTTCCGACAAACCTTCCCCATAAATTCAACTCCGCTGTCGTCTGGCGCGGAATAAGGCTTATACCGCTAGGTGCTGTCCTTCTCGACAACCTTCCTCATAAATTCACCCGCTCGTCTCGGCGCGAAATAGGCTTTTATTCGCTACATGGAAAACATCACAGAGCGATCCGAAGCAAATTAGAAGTGATTGACGACGGCGCGGAGAAACGTCGTTTTGGATCGACATTTCAGTGAGAGTTCCCTTGTTCAGCAAAAACCCCTGCATGAGTGGCGAGTATTCGACTCACCGATCGCAGGGATTCCGTGCAGGGCACCAATCGCCAACGGTCAGCGTTACTGGAATGATCAAGAAGACTGCGCCATGCAGATCGGAACGTCCATGTGAGCAGTTCAAAGAGTTGGTACCTATTGCTTCCAGAATTCTTCCAATTGTTTATTTCAGGGACAACATGAGGCAGATGGTACCTGCTAAACGAGTCGCTCTAGATAAGCCATCAAAAGGTTGCAAGGTACCTGAAAAATTACCTATTCACATAGTAGAATTGCATTTTTCAAATGTTTCTTGTCTGCGAGATCCTTGAACCATGTTAAATTACTGACGAAGTTCAATGTTGAAGTCGGGGGTGCTGTCCGGTGCGGCTGTGAAAAAGGAACCAAGAGGAAGGAGGGAGGGGGTGGGCGGACCTGGCAGATTGAACCACCTTCCAGTTCTTTTCGGCGATGGACGAGCTTACGGCTAAGTTATTTCTTTGGCCCAAAGGTTACCGATAGTGAGTGCGAAAATTAGCAGTTACCGTTCAAATGTGCGGCATATTCAAAAACGATTTGAACGATAGTGAAATCTCACATCGGAAGACCTGCTTTTATCATCTCACTAACGTCGATTGGTAGGCGTTACCATACCGGGATTATGGCTGAACAAGTTGGAGTTGAGCGCCTTTTCATAACGTGCCTTCACCCGCACTTATCATCTGATTGCGCAGAGCTCGCACTTGATTTAGAGGGCCATGTAAGCACATTTTGATCTACATGGATTGTTAAGGCGTAAGCGTGATTGCTCAAAAGTGAGACAGAGAGATGGGGTACCGATCTGCTCGGTTATGATTTGACCCACCTGCGGAAGGTAGCTCTTCCTGCCACTGTCTGAAGCCGGAGTTTACGATGGTGGCCAATTCTAGACCAAGCTAGAGGTGTGAACGATGCACGAATGAATAAAAAAACTAAAATCGGGGCAGCAACCTATATATAACTCGAAAATTGGGCTCCTGTGCTCGTTGATTTTCGCATTGATGCAACTCTCATCGTTGTTGCCCTCTTCGAGGCTAATGCCCTCTCTCCTAGACGGCTAGAGTCAGACAGCGAGAGGGTGGTCGGCCATGATAGGGAGCTAGGTACACACCCTTCGTTGCGAAATTCGCATTGTCCCGCACTATTGGGTCCGCCAGCTTTTCGAGTAGGTAAATTTTCCCTCCTTCCTAATCCGACCTCAGCGTGAAATCCACCTTCAATTTCGCCAAGAAATCTTCTCTAAAACTGTTCTCAGACGAGTTTATCTAGCGTAAGAAGTGAAATTACTCAAATTTCAGCCTCCTGATGTAGTCAAATCATTGCCGGACCGCCTTCGTAGGAAAATCCTGGAGATCTGGGAGGAGCGCGATCCGGAAGGGGACTGTTTCCAGCAGCAACGACGAACACGGTATCTTTCCAGCGGAGTTGTTGACTCTAAATGGATATTTTTCTTTCCAGTCTGATATTGCTTTGAATGGCATCTGTACAGGTTGGCGGCGTGCAGAACATGGCGTATAGATTTCAAACCTGATCATTGTTCGAGTCTAGTTGTGGAGGTAATATTTGCATTAAGCATGAACATGGTGTGCCCACTCAGTTGATTCGATGAGTGTTCGCCGGAATTTTTAGCAGATTCCTATTCCCTCAGAAGAAATTTTATTCTCATTTGTATTGTGTTTTCAATATTTTTTATTGTCATATTTTATTTGCTTAGTTAATCGTTCATTGATATCAGTTTTTACATCTTTGCAAATTTCAAGTCCTTTAAAGGAGGAATTCACGATTAGAATGAAGGTCGAAGAAAGGGAAACTGACCTAGTTGAGGGACCCACGGACCTCCTGAGGGTGCGAACTGACGCGCAATTCGCATGGAAAAATTTGACCTCGGCGACCTGGCGGGTCCGGCGATCTCCGCCCACCGATCATCTGATCACTCGCCGTAGTTCAATACGTGGCGAGTGATTAGATAGCTGAGAGAGCGTAGTGTTGAAGAGGGCACAGCGATGAGAGTCGCATCAATGCTCAAATCAACGGGCAAGGAAGGGGTCCATTTCTCGGGTTCTGGGCCGTTTCTCATGGTTCTTCCTTCTTTCGTGTACCACTCACCATCCCTAGGTTAATTTGAAATGGGTTGCTTTTTCATCGTGAATTCGTCCTTTAAAGGAATCTTGCGCGGAAAATTCTTGCACTCTTTCCTAACATGAATATGTCAGTTGTGATCACTGGAAATAGCACACAAAGTTTCACGCATGAAGATTCGGTTTCTGAAGAGAAACAAACGTACAAAAACTACACGTTATGGACCATCGAAGGACCAGGAGGCAGAGCCAGGCGAGGCATGGAAAGAAGACGGCGTTTGGCCGGCTACGTACCAGGCGACGCAATGAGAGAATCGGGTTAAAGCGCGCGATTTCGGAGAGTGGAGACAAATCGATCGATGGAATAGGATGGAGTAGAAGTGTAAGATGTGAATGCAACGAAGCAGAAGGCCAGAAAGAGCTTCTAGTGAATGCACTCCAAGAACCAAGTTTGAGCATCCCCGTCGCCAGCATTCGTGAAAGACGTCCGTGGGCAATTCGAACGCGTAGCAGCCTTTTCGAGTTTTCGAATTTCTAATCATAAACTAATAGCAAACTTCCAGTTCTTCCTATTATCTGAGTCTCAAGCCAGTGATTTTAGGCGAAATAGATGCTATTTTTCGGCGCACAGATTGCCTTAAGCGCACTTAAACATGATTCACAAAACTGTGATAAGAACCCCCATCGGTATAGGCGGATTTTACGATGAAAAGGCAGCCCATTGAAAATTATATTAAATATGGTCAGTAATGCACGAAAGAAGAAAAACCGAGAAAAATGGCCTAGAACCCGAAGAATGAACCTCTTCCTTGCCCGTTGTTCGCACATTGATGTCACTCCATCGGTCAACATTAACGCTCTCTCTGCTGAACGGTTAGAGACTCAAACACGAGATAACGGGGAGGTGCCATGACCGGGTCTATAGCGCACCACTGGGTCGGGGAATCCATGCAGATTGTCGATATCTTTTCACGCAAATGCCGTGCCATTCCGCACCTTTAAAAGGTCCGCCTTTCTGCCTGTCTCTCCACTCCTCGACATGCTGGCATCTTTCTTTAACCCTTTGACGACCGCGCGCTTCTAAGCGTGTTAGCGGTGTGGACCGCGCAGCTCAGAGCACGCCATGTGGCCACCGCGCGGGCCATACGTCCTATGCGCCGCGATTGTGCGGTGCCGGTTCCATACGGTCGTCAAAGGGTTAAGAAAAAGCGCTCTCGAGAATAGCCTCTATTTTTTGTGAAAGTGTGCCCTCGTAAATGCGTGTCGCGTCGTGATTTTCCCAAAAAACAACTGTTCTCATCTTGAGCGAGATAGTACAGAATGAAATTGTTTGCGGGTGAGTAATCAAAACGCAAACGACGCACCGCTCGCGATAAAAATTCACGGCAATTGGGGTGAGCCGTTCGGAAGGGTGCGCTAGGTCAACCTTATGCTATCTCTCACAAGTACTTTTAATTTTACGAAGTAGCGAATGTTACTCTCAATGGTTCAATCCCCCGTGACGAATAGACTTTGTCGGCTTTGTGGCTTATGAATGGTTCCTAATTGGTGCGTATTGGTCAACACAATGTCACGCTCACGGTTAGGGATCATTTTGAGCCAAAAAGTGGCGCCAACCTTGATTGCAAAGTTTGGTCGTCGCAGCGGATTGAATCCATGCCATTGAGGAGTTATTCACCACTTCTGTGGTACTACTAAAACGTTCAGCGAAAATGAAACATGGTTTTGTGGTTCATACATGCGGTCCTTACACAATGTGGAAGGAACCGCTTTGAAAAAGCGCGGCTTGCCTTGAAGAGCCTCCTTGTTAGTCTCTGCACGTCACTGTTGGGGCGAGAGCGTGGCGGCTAGCATCTAGGTGATTTGAGGACATGATGGAAATCGAATATGAAAGTAGAGGTGTTAAATGGTGCCGGCAGTGAAAAAAATTGAGTAAGCCGCCAAAATCCGAGAAATGCTACCGTCGCTCTAACCGCTAGCATTGAAGAGTTTGTGGATGAGACGCTTGCAGTCCGCTACAGTATAGTAGGCAACAGATTAGAAGATAAGGATATTTGGTGCAGAGTAGATCAGCGAGATGCAAATCCAACGATAAGGTATAGCGGTATCGCGAAACCCCATCGAGAAACGGGAGTGGAGGGTGGTTTAGCGCGGTGAGGTTTTCCAGGATTCAAGTCTAAATTTGTCTGATCTACATCTAGCGCACCTTTCAGCGTGAGAACGCCTCACTTCCTCTCATTTGCCACATGCCTAACTCTCCCAATATCGATACAGTTTCCTTTTGCACATCCAACTTATCGTACTCACTGCCCTTACCCTTGAACTATGAGCATCGTATACAAAATTGTTTTCTTTCAGATACGAGTTTGAATAGTAGTTATTCTTATCAGCATTTATGGGCATACCAAACAATGCCTCGTTATCCTTATCGTTATATCCTTAGAAGACATGCCGAATCTCGCAAAAAAGTGGAAGAGTCAGGCTTAGAAAACAAGCCTTTAGAATACTGGCGATTGCAGTTCTATGCAAAAAATACTAATTTGGTGGTTCAGGTGCAGCTTCGACGTCTATGGGCCGGCTACAAGAAAGGAGAGCCGTGTTCACGGGTGAGTGAAGTACAGTTTATGGATGAAAACCAAACTGTTCCGCGGCAGGACTTCTTTCTTCCTAGTATCAACGATAGGATAGGAAAATACAATTACAAATAAAGTAAAATCCGAGTCGTCCTCCATAGTGGCCTTCGAGGTCGCTAAACTCAAACCCACTGCTCCCAACTTAGTATTAAAGAGCACATACCAGTCTATCAATGAACGTGATAATAGCTGTTCTGCGCCATGGACATCACAGCAATTTGCCTTGAGAATTTTGCGCACGGTTCGAGCTCAACTAGTCCTCGACGGATCATGTTACGACGTTATCTGAAACATCGCAGAAGGGGTCTTGCATATATAAATTCTACTGTCCCTACGAAGGAATATGTCATTGAGCCGATTAAACAAGTTCCGTAGCATCTTGAGGATGGAACGATTGTGGTAGGCTTTCTTAAGCTTATTTTGAGGATGGTGAGGGCAGTGGAGGCTCTTCAGC